GTAAGTGATAGTGAATGGAATGCGGTTAAGGTTAGAATTGCGTGATTTAGGGATGAGAGCAGTGTTACGATCTATGGAAGAAGCTTTAAGCATAGCACGGTCGATGATGGTAATAGGGTAACCACGATTAAGAAAAAAGGAACGCATTTCTTGACATTTGTGAGAAAAATCAGTGTCGTCACTGTAAAGACGGCGCAAACGTAAGAATTGCGAAAAAGGAATAGAATTGAGAGTGTGTTTAGGGTGTGAGGAGGAATAAAGTAAATATGAATGAGAGTCTGTGGGCTTATAATGAATAGTGGTATTGAGTTTTTAATCTCACTAAACAAATGCCACATTCCTCAGTGTAAAAAAGATATAAAAAAAGAAGGAGAACATTACTATATTTCTCATGATTTCAGAACCAAGTAGTCCTCCACCAAAACTGAAAGCAGCATTTGTTTGTGATCGATACGAGTTAAGAGCGATGTGGGATCCTCTTGGTGTTGAGAACATCAATGGTGAACTGTTAGGATACAGGGTATTGCTTTACCAGGGAAAACTGCTCTACAAGAACTTCACAACAACAACCACAAGTAACACAATAACACTGGACGAGTGTAAGAACTACACCGTTAAGGTTGCTGCTTACACTTCACCTGGAGATGGACCATTTTCTGTTGTTGACGTCACTAGCACATGTCCCTGTGGTAGGTGTTAGCATTACAAACTTGAAATATATTTAAACCTTTTTAAGTCTGTCGAGTACTGAAATAAAAAATTAAACGAAGCTTTCGTCCTGGACAATTATAACTAAAATGGTAGTGTCGAAAGCAACTGATTTCCACTTATAAATTAGTTTCGTGCTTATGGTAGGTGCTCCTGAACCATCCTACAAAAGTCGCTCCATCGTTACAAAAGAAGGCAATGCGACAAGGTTACTATGTGAATACCAAGGACGACCTGAGCCCACGATATACTGGTTGCGTCAWGGACARCGACTYYACGATGAAAATAAAAGTGTAGAGAGATTTACGACACAGTTAGCGAATGGTACATGGTACATATCCTATACTGAAAAACAAGATAGAGGATTATACACGTGTGTATTGAACAACACTTATGGTGTAGCAACAACTGATGTKTCASTTACAGTATCTATAGGTGAGTAYTGAAATATTRAATATAACCGTAGTCATATCATGATACAGTGCARACTAATCCAGTTAACAAATCGTTTCTAGATATGATTCCCATTGATTGTCTTCTTATAGATCAAATATGCATGACACGCCTTTTAAGACGTGTTTTAAGACGTGTTAAAACATGTTACAAACTAATGTGGAAATCACGAGTGCAGCGATATCAATAGCAAAACTAAAAAAACATATTAAAACAAAGAAAAAAAATGAAAAGTACAACGAACGATTCGTCATTCTATGTGTATATCCTCTTATTTTTCATGTTCTCTAAGCTAAGTAGGAAAAAAACTGTAGCCCCCGTTTGTAAAKGCGAGTGCGCCAGCTTCTTTTGTGTGGCGGCCATTTTGGAAACTCCTTTTCAAAATGCTGGATCCGCATGACTGTCAATGACTGCCTTCAGTTGTTACTAMTGTAATTCGTATTGTTCKTAAAAYCGTTGATWTTCTCAGATGTTGCTGTAATCMAGCTCCAGATAACAGTTTCTAATAAAGAATATCAAGAAGAACTAGAAGACATAACATCCAAGATGTCCAGAGAGTTCATTCTCAMRATAGAAASAGCWGTGAGCATATTACCATTCAATAAAACATAGAACCACATTCTATACTGTACTCATAATTAAGTATTTATCGTTTTTCTCTGTGTAATGTAGATCTTAAAAGCATTCAAACCACGAAAAGATGTGTTCGTCACGGTCTCCAAGTTCAGGTAAATTAGTTGTTAGTTACAGTCAAATAAGCTCACGCGTTGACCCCTAGATTCGATTAATGAAATCATTAGTCAATTATTCCTTTTATACGTACGAACCGGAATAATGCAATATTGCAATATTCAAATGAAAATTCAGTTAATTATTCCGACTCGTGATGAATAAGGTAAATCATCTAAATTACAGATACCTTCGAGTTGAAGTCGCTCTCTTATTTCATAAGCATACACACTAGGTTTTGTAATTTCCATGCCTCAATTACTTGGAGGATATCATCAGCAATTTTGTAAGGAACGCTCCCGCCTTGAGGGAAATGGAGACACAGTGCCATGTCGTCGATAATGTTGAAGTATTTTCTGGACTCCCCAACTAGAAATTTTCAGTTGTCACGAAATTGCTTTATTGGACAATCCGCTATTGCTGAGATGAAAAATTTACTGTCGAATAATATCAGGTAAAGGCTTTCCCGGCACATAAACACGGCCAAGACTATTTCTGGCCGCCATGTTTTCTTGGTCTTCCGACTGTGTTAGCACTGATTAATCAATCAAAATGTCGTACATTGAATTTAAAGTTGATTGGAATTTCATATCTTCGTTTTCGACGTTGTAAATTGAACAATGAAATCAAAATTCGAAAATTCAAAGCATTAATCGACTCTAGGGGTCAACGCGTGAGCTTGTTTGACTGTAAAACTTTAGTTTTCCGAAGACCCACCCTGGGAGCCTTTGTTCTTAAAAAAGTATTATTTATCCTTATAAAGGAATGGCAGTGTAATAGCAGAGTTGAAGGTTTCCGTAGCAATGGATGACCCAAGCATGAAATCGTCCTCGCTAAAGTCAATCAAAGAAACCCTCATTCGTTCATTGTCTGCAGGCGAGAATACGACGGAGGATATCACATTCGATAACATCATTTTCAAAGGTACTTGTAGCATTGTAATGGCGGTGTAGCGGCAGTATCGCTCGCCTTAAACCATTGGAGTCACGCGCCAATAAAAAACTCTCCTGTTTTTTGATCGATAAATTATCCTCTCCGAATACTCCGCTTTTTTATCCTCCTCATTTAAAACCAAACACAGTGCTAACTTTTAATTCTATTTGTGACGTGAGTTACGCCGTGCCCCACTCATTTCAGGTTTCAGTGACAGTGCAGAGATTTGTTGCAGGGTATCAATTAAAACTGAAGGTCTTTTTTACGCGCTATGAGAATGTAAACCTCCCAATTTTGCAGATTTCACTTCTCCTACCAGCCTCGCAATCTCTATGTTATGTCATGTTTGGTACCGGCAATGTAAGCAGCTTTCTTGTAGTATTGCTTAGGCTGAGTTGGTGCAAGACCAAGTATGGTCTTATAACTTTACTGTTTTATACTATATTAGAGTCACCGTCTCCTCCACAAAATCCCAAAGCAAACGTAATAAACCCAACAGATATTCACCTGACATGGGATTACCCACAAGACTACAAAGCATACGCCATCACTGGGTACAGAATATTACACAVGAAAACTGGTAGGAAGGAATGGATTATGGGTAAGATGCTATCAGCCAATCAGAACAAGGGAAGAATAGAAGATCTTCAGTCCAGCACAGAATATGAAATTATGGTTGCTTCTTACAATGAATATGGACAAAAAGAAAGTAATATAATAACAGCTGAGACAACAGGTGAGGCAAATGAATGATATCAAATATGTCTAGTTTAAGATGATAAAACTGATGCTTTAACCATCGACCTCGTTATACCCCTTGCAGCTGACATGACAGCAGCCATAGCCCTTGGCGTCATCATTCCAATTATTCT